CCTAAGGTATGGAAGCAACCCAGGTGTCCATCAACAGATGAATGGATAAAGAAGATGTGGTATATATACACAATGTAATATTACTCAGCCATAAAAAGAAATGAGACCTTGCCATTTGCAACAACATACATGGATCTAGAGAGTATTATACTAAGTGAAATAAATCAGACAAAGACAAATACCATATGATTTCACTTACGTGTGAAATCTGAAAAACAAAGCAAATGAACAAACAAATACACAGACTCTTAAATACAGAGAACAAACTGGAAGTGGGTAAAATAGATGAGTGGTATTAAAAGGTACAAACTTCCAGTTATGAAGTAAGTCCTGGGGATGAAAATACAACACAGGGAATGTAGTCGATAATATTGTAATAACATTGTTCAGTGACAGGTGGTGATTACACTTACCATGGTGAGCATATAGTAATTTATAGAATTGTTGAATCAATATGTTGTGCACCTGAAACTAATATAATTAGTATGTCAATTTTAATTTAATAAAAAAAGGAGTCATTTGCAATCCTGTGTAAATTTGCTTAAAATTAATTTTCAAATGCTCCTAAATATTGATTTAGAAAGTCTTTGATTTTCCAAAAGTATAATTTACCTTTTTAGAAATTTTAAATCAATCTCAAAAATTTGTAAAATTATTTATTCTACATTATAGAAGGCTTATTTTTTTATAGAAAAGATGCCAACACCTGGTGTTTCACTTACTAGTTTTAAAACAAAGAAACTAATTTACTCTGATAACTGAGACAGTCATGACATATAATAGCATCACTCATCTCTTTTCTTGCAAGTCTCTCCAAAGAACTAAATATTTTCTTAATTAAATAAAATGCAAAGGCTCCAAACTTCTGTTGAGAAATTTAATGAGAACACTGGTCATTTTTGTGTGCCAGATAGGAGATGTTTTAAAACTGAATTTGACTTTTGACGGTGAAAGTACTTGGAGTTATTTTTTTTAAGTTTCATATAAATTATATCCTCAATATTTGTACATTGAGTTAGGCCTTTCTCAGATTTCCAATGGTAGCTAGATTATTTCTAACTACTGACCATGATCCCTTGAAGCCAAGTGGTTATATTAACTCTCTTGAATCTCAAAGAAAGCATTTGTTAGGTTATATTTCTTGGGAAGTAACACCATGAAGTATGTAAGAAACAATTAATTTCACATGCACAAGCACTAGTTTTTCAGGGATTCTTGTGATCACTTGATTTAATGTAGGAACAAGGCCTTGTGGAAATTGTCTTGGTCTTGAAGCAACATCCCATTAATTTATTTAAAAAATATATACAAATATATTTTCATTTAACTTATGTCAATTATTAGAAGCTTTGTCTAAGATAAACTCATCAATAAATTGTTGAATAATAATAAAAAAAGAAATCATGAGAAGTGTAAAAGTATTGATAACACCTCAACAGGATAAGCACTAGTCTATGTCACCAGTAACACCATATTAGAAGCGCCAATCTATGTAACTAATCAGCTCTCAATTATTTCTTTATGGGATGAAATTTGATAAAAAATGGCTTATTCTGTAATAACTCATTTCTCCTGTGAAATACTGAGGAGACAATTGAAAAACAAACAAATTGAGGGATAATTCAACAAGCAACCATGGAATGCTAACTATATTCCAGGTATTAACGTAGATGCTGGGAACACATATATCATCTATATTCAGTAATTTACTGATGCATTTTAAACTATTTCCTTAAATAAAGCCATTTATTTATAGGTAGGATGGCATTCACACCATTCCTAAATATTCCCTTAAACACATAGTATTCTTACATTTTCCCCTGTACTGAAAATATCATTTAACATGTAACATTTTGTTTGTTCCCTTAATCATAGATACAACCAGAAAGGCAACAGTATATGAAGAAGTTTTTTGTACAGAATAGTCTCACCAGAATAACTTTTAATATGATGGTTTACAATCACAAAGCAATGTTCTTAATTTTCTTCTCCTGGGCACATTTGAAGTTTGTACAGTGACTGTTTTGAAAAGCTGAAAAAGGCTGGGGGAAACAAACAAAACTTGTATTAAATAGTCCATTCTTAAGTTTACCATGACAATTGACAGTATAGTTTTACTAATTTACTAATTATCTTGCGCTAGGAAATGAACAATATCCTATTTTTACTGTTTTTTCACAAATTTAAGCTGTTCAGTTGTTTTGCTCCCCCTTGAAAACCTTAATTATAAGTCTATTAAATGTAGTTAAAAATGAAAAGTACAAGACTGAAAAATTACCCAGGTGTTTGTGTTCAAATAGAGATTATCTTTCCTTTATAATTTTCCCTTTCTTTTTACCAACTGAATTTACAGAGGTTTGTTTTGTTTTGTTTTGTTTTTTACTGCTTTGCAGTGTCCTAACATATAATTTATCTGTACTTGGGCATATTTTAATTATTCCTTTATTTGTAATGGCTAACTTTTTAAAAATAATAATTATTTAAATACTTAATAATTTCCTCAAATGTATTAAATGCTTTTATACTTGAAGATTTTTACCTTCTAGAAATCTTGCATGATTTATACTGATTCAAAGCATTTGTAAAGGTTCTGGTTAATACTAACACTTCAAGTTTATAAATTCAAATAAAAACTGGTAATTGGTAAAAAGGAATAGAGAGTGCATATAGTAAGTAATTACCAATGTAGATATTTTAAATTTATTTCAGGTTGCACTGTTTTCATATATTTTAATGGTCACAATTATGTAAAGCAGTGGGCTCATAAAATATGAAAATTATATCCCATTAGTTTTTAGTTTTACTTTTGTCAATTTAAGTAAAGAATATATCTTGAATGTTTTTCAGAATTTTGATACATATATCAATATAATGTGCATTCTAATTTTTAGCAGACCTAAGCTTTTACATGGTATAGATACTTTTCCTCAAGTTCATATAACTCATACTGTTTTAAGCAAGGGAGTTCATCACAAGGTTGTTTACAAATGTAGAAAACACTGGAAAACATGTAAGTATTATTCAATGCGTTACTTAGATAAGCTATAGTACATGCACGCAATGGAATACTATGCAGTCACTAAAATGATGATACAGATTGATATTTTTTAGCTTAAAATTTAAAGAAACACAAAATAGTACATATAGTATTTTTTTGTTGATTGTAAAAGAGTGTGTTTACATAGGAGAAAAGTATATGTATGCAATGAAATCATTAATAGTGGTTATCTCTGAACTGTGGGAATTTAATTCTTTATAATTAATTCTTTATAAACGCCTGCATTGTGTACATTTTTTAAACAATAAGCATGTATTATGTATATGATCAATAAAAACAGTGATTTCCATTTGAAATTATTTGATAATGAATATACATGTAATTTGTAGATAAACAATTACACAGAGAAAGTTCTTTCTCTTTGTTTTATGGGAAAATAGCTAACAAGTGTTAACAAAATTATATATCTATGTTGTATTATGCATGTAACCTAAAATTTGTAGTTAACATAATAAAAGCCAATTAAGAATAGAGACAACACATTTTTTATGGTTGGATATATGATGTGAATAAACCCTATTTTTAAAAAGGATTTTTTAAAATTTTACATAAATTAAGTAATTATTTCTCTACTTCCAAAATGATTTGAACACTCACATATTAAATGAAAGGCAATCTAAAGAAAACATAAAAGTAAGTGTAATATGGATGGAAGGTAGATGGATGGAGAAAAGAGGAGACTACAAGTAAAATACTAAAAATCTGCAATCTAGAAATTACAGGATAAATAATGTAACTGCAATATAGAACAGGACATCTTGTCACAACTTCGAAGCAGCCAGACATAAAGAGAACCATACTGGATTAATAGCTCTCATATAACAGATGGAGGCTTTGATACATCTGTGAATATTATCACATGGATGTATTCAAAAATTTACAAGAGATAACGACAAGTTTAATAAAAGATGTCCTTCAAAGTAATTTTTCAACATCATTATATGGATTATTTACCCTTTTTATTGACACTTTATAGACGCTGAAGTAAAAATTTTAAAATTTTCTATAGGTAAAGGCAATTCAGTGCAGTTATTTACCTTTTTTGTTAACTTAACATGACCCATGTGTACTACTAAGGAGTTTTAAAAAATGAGTGGCAAGAATGCTGCTTAGACTGTACTCATATATCAACTCTCTCAGGAAAGATTTTTAAGATAAAATTCATCATTTTAATAATGCTTAAAGTGTTAATTTTCTAATATACTAATTGAGAAAACACTAATAGGTTTATTTCTGGGCATGAAGTTGAATACAACTCCCAATACTTAGTCAAAGCCACTGTCAACTCTCTGATATGCCCACAATACATTAAAAAGGGGAAAAATGTATAACGAAATAAAGAAAACTCAGATCTTTTGAAAATAATATCCATTTTAAATAATAAAGTAAAATTATGCACAAATGTTCATCGGATCATATACATTTTCCCCTGCTTTACTGATTTCTCAAAAAGCAAGTTAGATCTTTTCTGTGTGATAGATTCAGAAATAATGGCCATTTTGAGAATATTTTCATAGAAGAAATTACATTTAGCAGTATAATTGCAATAAGGAAGTAAATATACTCAAGTACCTCACCTTGACTGGTTTAGGTAAACAATAATAATAATGAAAACAATATGTGGAGGGACAAAGTTTATTCTATATACCCTAAGGATATTTTATCAAAAAATGGTACAAAATGACAGTTTTATAATTAGAAATTATATTCTTCACTAAAATGAACAAGGTTTTCTAGTTTTACTTATTTTTTCAAAAGAAAGTATTTACTTCAGAAAGAAAGAAAGAAAGAAAGAAAGAAAGAAAGAAAGAAAGAAAAGAAAAGAAAAGAAAAGAAAAGAAAAGAAAAGAAAAGAAAAGAAAAAAGAAAGCCTGACATCACAAAGTAGCCCAAACTAAGTAGGCACCAGCTAAAGGCTGCACCAAATTGAGCATTCTTATTCTCACCACCTGCGCCTGGCCTGGCCCAGGGTGACATGCAGGGGCTTGGAGCCCACTGTGCGACCATTCATCTCATCCACTGCTTTGGTAGCATCTTCAAAAGAGGAGAAGCAGACAACACCAAACCCTTTGCCTTGCCCTACTTCCACCATCACTTTGGCCCGGCTAATTGATCCAAAGGAAGAAAATTCTTCCTTCAGTTTTTCATCATCGATGGTCTCATCCAGGTTCTTAATATAGATAGGCACCCCCGGAGGCCGACTTTTTTCTTTTAATCTCAGCCGTTCAAATCTTCGTCTTAACTCAGCCAATCGTTCAATTTTCTTCTGTGCTCGCCCTACGTACAGAACTTTCCCATTGATGGACTTTCCATGCAGGTCTAACACAGCCTTTTGGGCAGCCTCGTGCGTCTCATACCTCACAAATCCAAAGCCCTTAGATTTCCCACTAGCATCTCTTATTACCTTAACACTCTCAGTTGGCCCATATCCACTAAAGATTTCCTTCAGTTTTTCATCATCCATGTCATCTCCGAAGTTTTTAACAAAAACATTAGTGAAAGTTGCTCTATCCTTGGTTCTGACTTCAGCTGCCCTCTCTTCTGGGAATTTGAATCTACCAACATACACCTGGCGGTTGTTGAGCCGCACCCCATTCATATGCCAGATGGCTCTATTGGCAGCGGCCAGGCTGTCAAAGTGCACATAGGCATAACCCTTAGAGCCATTGTCATCACATACGACTTTGCAGGAGAGAATGTTCCCAAAAGCAGAAAATAAATAAAAAAGGGCCCTATTATCTATGGATTTGTCCAGGTTTTTGATGAATATATTTCCAACTCCAGACTTTCTTAAGCGGTCATCTGGCTGAGACCACATGAGGCGGAAAGGTTTGCCATTAATCAAATCAAAATTCATGGTATTCAGGGCCCACTCAGCATCTGCAGGAAAGCGGAAGTTAACATAGCCATAGCCCAGGGGGCTGCGGGTCACAGGGTCACGGCAGATTCGGGTGAAGCGCAGAGGGCCAGCAGGCCTGAACTTTTTATATAACATGTCCTCAGTAACATCTGGGTCCAAGTCACCCACGTACAGGGCAGCCTTGAGGTACTTCTTTTTCTTGCCAGCAGGATTAGGCTCTCCACTCCCCATCTTTCTAAGCACAGGAAGGAGGCTTTCGCGGGAGAGAAAAAAAGGCTGATTTCTCTAAGCTATGGGCCAAGCAGCTGTTCACAAAAAGAAGAAAGCCAAGGCGAAGGAAGCTAAAAGCAGTTTCAGAATCACTGTTGAGGCTGAGAAAATGAAGTTCAGAAACAGCTGGTCAGCGGACTCAGAACAAACACATCAGACAACAATGCATCCCAATAACGAATCTGTTCTACCTAAAGAACTTATAATTTCCACCCATTAAGATTTAAAATCTGTTTTAAAAGCCAGTAGTAAGAAAGAAATTCTCTGTTCCTCATTTAATTGTAAGAAATCATCAAGCAGCTGGCTGGGCCCCCCACATCTCGCATTGGCTTATAGAGGCCTCGAGACCCGTTTTCAGCATAAATATAGGCCTCGAGCTCCTACTGGCTTAAAATTCTCTTAACCTGGACAGGGGCCAAACGTGTATTCCTCCGCCGGCTGCCTGGCCGGTCTCAGGCGGGCTAGCAGCTAAGGCCGCTAAACACACTCAGCGTCAGTGAAAGGGCAGACTAAACACTTGGTGCGCTGGGGCCGGAAGGCAGGCTGCAGAAGGCGGATCAGACAGAGAGACAGACAGACAGACACACACGCTGGGGACGGAAGACCGCCCAGATACCCCAGATGCCCACCGGGTACGGACCGAGTGACGCGCGGTAATTTCGGCAGTCTGAGACTCGCGGCAGGTCCGGAGGGACTGACTGGCGGACGCGCACTGGGTCAGCTTCAGCGGGAGGCGGTTCCGGACAGATGTGGGGCGGAGTCAGAAGAGAAGGGTAGATGCGAGGCGGGCGGGCAGAGCTGGGACAGATGGACACGGATTGCTTTCCGCAGGACAGAGCACCCCAAGGACGAAAACCATTTAGCTGTGGTAGGGCGGGCGGGGCGTGAGGAAACCCGGAACCTTGCTAAGTAACTTCCCGCTTGCTCTGTGCCAAGATAAAATTAATTTAATTTAATTTAATTTAATTTAATTTAATTTAATTTAATTTAAATGTTTTTTAGATTTTTCTTTATTTTTAAAATTTTGTGTTTTTATTTATTATCTTTAAGTATTAATTTTAGGCTGCTAATCCCAAAATTAAAGCAGGAGGTGATCACCTAGGCAGAAAGAGCTCTCATACTTTTTTTTAATAATAATAAAAAAAAATTCCCTATATCATTTCTGCTTAGGAAATTAGATATAGAGTTGCATATTTTCTAAATTAATTGGAAAGTCAGAATTGACAGCTGTACTGGATTCACATTACAGTGCTAAATGATCATATGGTCAAATAAAACACAGGGCCATGTTGCATTTAACCTTTATCCATTAAACCCCAACATGATGATCACATAATCCCCAAGTAGTAAGCAGAATTCTTGACACTGCTCCAGTAGTACTAATATTTTAATGACTGGAGAGTCGTAAAATGGCATTTTATGGTACCTAGTGCTACAAAACTTTGAAGATGTGCTGTCTCCACAATCAAAAATTACAAAATATTAATAAAAGAGATAAAAGCTACAGAATCAATGCAAAATATATGATTAATGTCCACAGATGAAATAAACATGTAAAGATATAGGCATATTATGCATTAATTACTAATTATTTTATTTTATTAAAGTTTTTATTTAAATTCCAATTAACATACAGTGTAATATTAGTTTCAGGTATACAATATAGTGTTTCAACACTTCCATACAACACCTGGGGCTCATCACAAGTGCACTACTAAATCCCTATCACCTACTTAACCCACCCCTCACCTACCTTCCCTTTAGCAACCGTCAGTTTGTTTTCTATAGTTAAGAGTCTGTTTCTTGGTTTGCTTCCCTCTCTCTTTATTCCCCTTTGCTCATTTGTTTTGTTTCTTAAATTCAACATATGACTGAAAATATATGGTATTTGTTTTTCTTGAACTGATTTATTTTGCTTAACATAATACTCTCTAGCTCAATGTCTTTGCAAATGGCAAGATTTCATTATTTTTTATTGCTAATACCCCATTGTGTGTATATATATATACACACTCTCTTATTTATCCATTCATCAGTTGATGGACATGGGATATTTTCATAATTTGGCTGTTGTAGATAATGCTTCTATAAACATTGGGTGCACATATCCCTTTGAATTAGTATATTTGTATTCTTTAGGCAAATAGCTAGTAGTGCAATTGCTGAATCATAGGATACTACTATTTTTAACTTTTTTTTTAACCAGGAAATGGTGCCGCTCATTATTTTTCCTCCAAGATTTTATTTAAATTCAAGTTAGTTAACATATAGTGTAGTATTTAGAATTCAGTGATTCATCACTTACATATAACACCCAGTGCTAATGCCAACAAGTTCCCTCCTTAATTCCCATCACCCATTTAGCACATTCCCCCACCCACCTCCCCTTCAGCAACCCTCAGTTTGTTTCCTATAGGTAATAGTCTCTTATGATTTTCCTCCCTGTTTTTATCTTAATTTATTTTTCCTTCCCTTCCCCCATGTTCATCTGTTTTGTTTCTT